GTTCCACTAACATAACTCCACAATCTTTTTCCCTTTAGAAAGTCCCTCGTCACGGTACTACATTATGAGTTATTTTTACCATTTAATCTGACACTAATGGATTGAAGTGAATTATCCTTTCAATTGTCATTATGAAATCAACAAATAAGCTACTACCAATCAAAAGAAATCACCAAATTCTAAGAAAAACAACAATAACCAACGCACCACCACGAACTATCGCCGGAATATACTGCACAGTATATGTATAATCAAGGTAATACCTCCAAACGATCAGAAACTCACTAGGAACACTATCCCATTAAAACTCCACTAGAAAGTGTGACACAAGCCGATTGTGCCTAAGCAATGATGAAAATGGACTTCCCACAATACATTACCAGAAAATCGAGGGGAAAAAAAGTGTTATCAAACAAAAAAAATCCGTCCAACAAAATGTATTACCCTGGTGGAGGTACTAGAAATGTACTCGGACTTTATTTTCCCCTTTCTTATATAGCTTTTGTAATTTAACTTAATTATGTAAGAACAGAACATGGATTAAGAGCATGCTTAGCTCTGCTTAAACGCCATAATGGAAGCCACATACTGCGTACTTCCAAAAATTCACCAATAAATTCTTGAATACAATAAATTGTGACAACAACATTAATGTTTTGCTGGAAGGAAATCTAAAAGCACATTCTATATCGAGAAAAAAAACAAACAAACAAAGTTTTCAAAAAATTCATCCAACAACATGTATTAAAAATAAAAATTGAATTTAGTAATATTACCTAATTCAACATATAAAACGTTCAAGAACAAAACCCAGTACTAGATTTGGAGGATCTGATGTGGAGCATCAACGAAGGACTATATTCACTCCATTATCTGGGTCTGCAATTTGCAGGTTATTTAGAGTGTGTTTGGTAGGGATTTTTGGGGGAAGAATTGATTTTTGAATAGTGATATGATGAGAAATGTGTGGTTGAAAAAGAAGAAAAAAGTATTGATGTGATGGAAAATATTATTTTATTGAAGAATGTGTGGTTGAAAATGAGAATTGATTTACTGTAGAAAATGAGAATCTGTACCAAACA